GATGTAAAGCAGTAATGGGCCAGTTAGGTAAGGCTGGCAGGTCGAGAAGTTTGTTCTGACTTACTACTGGTAGCATAAGGCATGGTAGAAGTCAAGTGCTAGGTTTAAACTTGGTCAAAAGAACAAGCTGCTTTGTATCAAATGTAAACGTTTCAGATTTTTGTAGTTTTGAGATTCAGCACTTACTAATAGTAGGAGACCAGATAACCACATGGTTTCCTCTTCCCTTTCAGCTTTTTCCTCTTTCTCTTCCACCCTTCTCCTTCCTTCCTCCCTTGCTGAAACACTTACTCCATAGACCTCCACCCCCACGTCTTGATTTGTCGCTCAGCATGGGCTGGTATTCATGGTGATGCTCCTACTTCAGTCTCCTCTAGTGTTGAGAAAACAGATGTGAACTTGTTGTGATAATATTTTAAATGATGGCACCTGATCTAGTTTTTTGTTATGGAGCCGCCATGTTTCCAACTAGGCTAGGCCTGAGGTCACAAGTAGCGGCAGTGTGTTCTCACCACTGCCTCACTGCTGCTGCAGCTCAGGACACAGGCTCAAGCTTCTAGCTGAGGCAGCCAGATCGGCACTGGGCCTGCCACCCACGAGAAGCCAGTGTGGGAGATGGCTCTGCCGATCTTCCATGCTGTCTTCACAAGGCTGTGTTGATCTTAGACCATCCTGCCAATGAAGCGGGGCGGTAGAAATAAGACTCTAATGTTTAAAAGTTATCCAAAGGCTTTATATGTTTGGTAATGCTCAATAACAAGATGTCCACACAATCAGAGGTGTAACCCAATACCCAACCTAGATAATCAGTTACCTTTGATTGCTAGAAACATGCGTACATCTGTTTCCATGTTCCCCTCTCTCCAGTCTTCTCCTCTAGCTGTTCCTCTTCCTTCTCCTTTTCCTTTCCTTACTCCTCCTCTTCCTCTACTTACTCTTCCCACCTTAGCTCCTCCCAATTTGCAGGAAAAATATGCCATTACATATTAACCTTCCTGTTGCAAAAAATCTTTCTCTCAAAATACAAATAGAGTACAACTATACCAATTTGTATCAGTAAGGTACAAGATAGACCTAATACCCAGTCCATCATTTTGTCAACTAAACAGAACCTCTGTCATCTCTCCTAACTAAAAGACTTAGTTCTGAACCTGGCTTGTGTCCTGGCTTCAGAATGAATGCCATCTGAAAATCATCCTCTCAAATCTGTTCTCTCAAAGTAAATAGCCTTGGTTGGCTATGAGACCACAAGTCTTCAATCCCATCAGAAATCCAGAATGACTAAATTAACTGAAGATATGGGAAGCACAAAGCATAGCTTCGAAAACTTAGCCAATTTATAGAGACTGCTGATTACCTGGACAATCCTTTACTTCAAAACATTGGAGCATCTGGTCTTCAGCCTTCTGGACCAGGATCATCTGACAGACCTAGTAATGCAGAATTTTTAAGGGCTGATCACTCTGTCTTGGCAGATATAATCAGTTGACTATTCCACAAGTGTGTCCTTTTTCTGGAGAGTATATTGTCTGTAGATGAAAAGAGGCAATTTTTGCCTAATGGCTGTCTCACCACAACTGGAGTAACTCCAAAGATGCTCAGTTTCTTCTTAGAATCCAAGACAGGGAAGCTGTCAGGAGCAGACAGGTCTCTAATCAGAATGAACATTTATACAGAAATATTTGTAACGTCAATTCTGTGAACTTCTGACATTTTTGAAAACCAACTACCTATGTAAAGCAATCTGGACTATTGTCCATTAACTCTTTCTCAGCTATTTCTAATTAAAATCTGGAAAATACCCTAACAATCAACTCAGAGCCATGAATTTGTTATTGGCCCTTAACTCACAGGCTAATGATTTCAGGTCAGTTAAAAAAGTTAAAGGACTGGGTCTAAGCCTTGTACCCACCAGTTTTAACTTAATAGAAGAAAATATACCAATGAAACCCTCGAACTTGAAATCAAAATAAATTTTGTACCATTTAAGAAATTTTAACTTCAGCTTAATAACAGTTATACAGGCTTCTACCAGATAGGCTATGGCTATGTAATCAATTCTAACTGTTCTTCCCCGTTCCAATAAAACCTTACTTTTCCCTAGAAGGACAGCCCAATATTAACCACCTCAGTCCCTAAGCCCAGGGAATAGGGGCACCAACTCTTCATTAACTTCTTCAAGCTGAATTTGGACGTTGAGATATTAGAAGAGGGGCGGGGGGAAGGGTAAATTGATAAGCCTCTGACATCTGTGTCTTCACTGCGTCCAGCTGAAATTCCAGGACATCAGAGGTTCGAGCAGGTCTGCTCAGCTTGCTTGATGAGTAGATACATCAAGGCTGTGTATTCTGCAATATACAATTCTCAAAACAAATCTTAGTATCAAGATAATTTTTTGTTTGAATTCTGGAATCTAGTCTTCTGGAAGCCTACCTCTGTCATGACTAATCCATCTAATTCTGGGAGGTAGAAATACCTTAATCATCTCTTCTGAAAACACTTGGAGAAAACCTTTTCCCCAAAACAGAATTTCCTTGAGCCACTAACCAGAAAAACCTTTATCTTGACCTCTTTCCCAGAGGAAAAATATAACCACAAAACTGAAAATCACACCCAGCTTGAAAATAAAATCAATTTAATAACTAAAATACTGCACGTGCCTATTCTTAGGCCTTTCCTATTTTGCCAAGCAGGAAATGAACCCAGTATTCCCGTGAGGCCCATGTTAAATAGAACCCGAGTCTCCTGTGAGGCAATATAACTTTATATCTTCTGAATACACCTGATTTACACTATCTTTCTGTTCAGCCCTCTGCCTAGAACAGTTCTTCATTTATACCATCTATCTGTTTGCCTTTGTACTCCAGAGCAGCCTCCAGTTGTACACTGCACTCTCTACTCTAGAGTCAGTGACAATTTTCTCTAAGTTCCAAACCATAGGCTAAAATCCCCACGTGATTCGGACAAATCTGTTTATAAATCTTTCCTAAAAGCAAATAATCCCTATATTGTAACTTTATACTTAAATCAGTAACTGCTCCACAATGGAGGCTTATTTATTTGGCTGTCTTGACTCAGAGAAGCTAATAATGTATGCCTGTCTAGGCACAGAGCCACAGACAGATTTTCTCTACCTATCTTTGTTCTGAACCACAGGCGAGATTCCCACGTGAATCAGACAAAACTGTTTCTAAATCTATCGTAAAAACAAATAATCTCAATTTTAATTCACAGTTCAAATCTCTCTGTGCTAGAAGTAAGCTACTTTCTTCTTTTCTTTCTTTTTGTTTTGTTTTGTTTTGTTTTTGTTTTTCTAGACAGGGTTTCTCAGTATAGTCCTGGCTGTCCTGGAACTCACTCTGTAGACCAGGCTGGCCTCAAACTCAGAAATCCACCTGCCTCTGTCTCCCAAGTGCTGGATTAAAGGCATGCGCCTCCACTGACTGGCCACTTCCTTCTTTTCTTAACAAAAAACAACCTGCATTTCCTCACAGCAGGGGACAAGTAGGTTTTAGTTCAAAGTTCCCGCACTAGGAGTCATGTGACTTATCTCAGAGCTTACTCACTCACTTTCTTTTTTTTTTTTTAAAAAAAAATACAACTTTTACTCTCAGGTGAAATAGACTTAAATTTCTAGTGAAGTCGTCGCCACTTGTGGTAATATTTTAAATGGCAGCTCCCAACCTGGTTTCTGATTAATCAGCCAGTCATCATCCCAACTAGGCTAGGCCTGAGGTCATGAGCAGCAGCGTGTTCTCACTGCTGGGATGCTCAGGCGGCCAGAGACACCAGCCCTGCCACCCATGAGAAGACAGTGTGGGAGATGGCTCTGCCACTCTTCCATGCTGTTTCCACAAGGTTGGGCTGAGCCCAGACCAGCTGCCATCCTCGTGGTACCCAGTAGAAACGAGACTCTAATGTCAAAAGATTATCTAATAGCTTTATATATTTGGTAATGCTCAAATAACAAGACACCCACACAATTAGAAGTGTTTTAACCGATTAACTAACCTAGATATAAGTTGTTACCCATGGCTGCTCCTGATACATGTGGTTCCTCATTGCTCCGACATCTCTGCCTCCTCCCTAGCTCCTCCTCTTCCTCTCCTTCCGCTTCCTCTTTTTACTCCTCCCACCTTAGCTCCTCCCAACTTGCTGGGGAAATATGCCGCTATGTCTGGTTTGCCATTGAGCTATTAAGGCTCTGCTGTTTCAAATGGGATATTTTGGTAGATAGGTGGAGCTCATATGTAAATCTAGTAAAATGTACATTTATATACGGTTAGTCATGCCCTGTAACTGTATTGTGCTGAACTGGTTTCCATATGTAACTTTGATGTGGTTTTGAGCTTTATTAACTCATGTTCTTTCAATTTTATGACTTGGTCACAGCATTGTGTGAAAGGTTATTTTCCTAGAAAGAGGAAGCTAAGGTCAAGATTGACAAGGAAATACATCCTGTAATAATCCTACCCTGGAGGCTAAGGCAAGAAGAGTGAGTTTGAGGCAAACCTGGAAGACCTTGTCTTAAAAAGGAAAAGGAATTGACTTCTTTCTCCTTGTTTGAAAACCAAAAGCCAAAAAGGCATATTAGTGGTCATGAAAGTGGAACATGTATTTCACACTCTGCTTATGATCTGTTTTTCCTGCAGTTCGTAAATACTACTTATGAAATTACTAGGGCATTCTAAAATGGCTGAAAATATGCTTTAACAGCCAACTGATAAAGTAAAAAACTGAACGAAATGTATATTCAGAAGAATGATTCTCTGAAGGAATAACAATCCAAATGAATAACCAAAGTATGAAAACATTAAAAACAAAATGTCTAGGGTTTATTAAATCTTAATTATAGACTTATTTTCTTTGGTAATTCAAGTTAAAAGAAAATTACCTCATTAAAATTTTGGTGGTCAGTGTTACCGGATGTGTTAAACCATTATTTTTTCCTTAAATATTACTTCATTTTTGGCATTAACATGTGTGCTCTTTCCATGTAGGAGAATATATAAAAAATTGGAGGCCAAGATACTTCCTTTTGAAGACAGATGGCTCATTCATAGGTTATAAGGAGAAACCCCAAGATGTGGACTTACCCTATCCCCTCAACAACTTCTCAGTGGCAAGTAAGTCAATGACAATTGTTAGTTCACCTTGGGTCCACTTATCTGCATGATGGTATGTGGCAGGTTTGTTTATGGATCTTTAGAAACCAGTGCAAAAGTTTGTTTACATTTAATGGAAAGAAATGATAAACTCTGTAAGAAATGTCAACTCCTTATGACAGGGACTTATAATCTTATGCAGTGCAATATAGTTTGCTGTTTTCTGTATTTAGAGTTGAATGTAATAAATATAGTTGCTCATCTATGCAACTTAAGTTTTTTTTATATAAGATGTAAAAAAGGACCTATGATCTGGGTTGTAAGATGTTATCTTACTTTCTGCATTACTTCACAGAATTCCCTGTCATTGTTTTGTTGTTTAGCTTATTATAGAAATGTTTTTTATTAGAAATCATTTCCTGGGGTTATTTTATATTTTTAGTTATATTCATATTTTTTAGTATATCTAACAAAATGTTGATAGTTTATTTAGAAATCTTGTTGTCATTGAATTTTTTAATTGAAAGATGTCCATGATGATAATAACAATGATTATTTTTATTTTCATGTTTGACCAAGCTTTTAAATGGTTTATACCTACTGATTCAATTAAAGGATTTTCCTGTGTTTATCCAGAACTAAAGCAGTTTCAAGTTCAAATTGGCATATAGAAGAAGAACTAGGTACAGTCTAGTCTACAGTGTTAAAGTTTTTAATTAGATGACCTCCTTTACTCTATTTTAGTTGGATGATATATGTTAGATATGATAGAAAAAGATGGGAGAACTTAAATTTGTGAGCATAATTAAATAACCAAAAGATCCAGAAAAGAAAACATTTCTTAAGTATTACAGAATTCACTTTACCACAAAAGAATTTCAAACTTTATTTCCAGTTTTTAAAATAAAGGTAAAAGATGATGGAATTACAAATAATTGAAGAAGGATACTATTTTTCTAAAATTTTATCAAAAAAATTTATGTGGAACATATTTTGATGAATACTTCTATGAGAACTTCCTTGGGAACTAATTTTAAAACCCTTCGCATTCATATCTTTGCTCTCTTGTGTAGTGAACTCTTATTTTTTAAATGAAAGCTTCCTATCATTATATGTTATAAATGCATATATGTGCATGTATATGTGTGTATTAAGAAAAAAAGCCTTTTCTCTATCAAAACATGTTCATTATATACTAGTGGCTATGGCAAGTAAGAAATTATTTAATCACTTTGACAACAAGAATAGTATGTTTTTGGTTTTTAAATTAATTTAAAACATATTTCAGGCTAAAGGAATTGTGGGTGAACATTTGCTTATTAATGTGGTAGAAATTACCTTTTAAACAGTTGTCGTGTCCTGCTAAAGAAATTTCCATTTTACCATCAATTCTATTCGTTTGTCTGAAATAATTTATAAAAGAACAGAAAAATCTCTATCTGCTGATCAAAATTCAGCATTTTTTGACCTTACAAAATTTCACACCCCAACAAGTTTTAAAGACATACTGTATGTCACAGTCTGCCAACATCTGCTCTAACACTTCCACTGGCAGAGGGTGAAATAAAATGTGTACTTGTGGAGAGAGATCCTATTTAGTGACTGACAGCTTCTCCAGAAGATAAATAGCAGTTGACATCTGTAATTTTTACTTGCATAACTAAGTACTTGTTGGTACTTGAGTCTTGCAGGTAAAGTAGTAGTTGAATACCTAATTTTCAAGAGTATTACCTTAGATCCTACCATGAGTCCATTTAAATTTTTATTTTTAGAGCTTTATTATAATAATAAATTATATAAATAATTAAGGAAATAATACTTCATTGAAGGGACACTTGTGAAAGAAATGGTTCAAATTTCCACTTTGGCTCAAGCTCTGAGTATGACTAGGGGTGGGGGCAGATCATGTTTTAAACTCTGATCCTAACATTATTTTTTCATCAACAAACTGAGCATCTGCTTGCTGCTTTGTAAGGGAGAGTTTGAGCAGGCACTTGAAGATGAATTAAATAGGAAGCTAATTCAAACAAAGGAGGAGGTATTATAGGCAGAAGATGACAATGCTTTTATGGGGCATCAATAAAAACAACCTGTTTCCTTTGACTGGCAGCTAGTTCTTCACTTGCTTTGGCCCTCTATGGAATATTGTTCTTCAAGAGGCTGGAGGCATGGCTCAGCAGTTAACTGCTAACTGTGGTTCACAGCATTTGTAACACTGGTTCCAGGGGATTTGACACCCTCTTCTGGCCTCTCTGGGTACCTTTATGCATTTGGACGAGCAGATGCATACACATGCATGTAAATAAAAATAAAATTTAAAAATTAAAAGAATTTGAATAGCCTTTAAAATTATTGCAAGGTTTTTCTAAGGTATGTTAAATATTATATATCCTATTAATAGCTACAATTTGAGTCCTCTATTTTTCCCCTAATTAAAAATGTTCCTTCATGGTCTGGCTTCTAAGATAGCTCCATTTGGTTATCTGCTTCCTGTGGTGATATAAGTCCTTGAGTTTGGCTGTCCAACGACCATATTAAATAAGTGTAGGAGACCATGACTTTATTCCTGGTCTCTAGTAGCAGAGAAAGGTTGTTTAATGGAGCTCATGGTTTGGCCAGCCCAGCATAATCTGTAAACTCTAGGTTCATTGAGAGACTATCTCAAAGGGTAGGGTGTAGAGTGATTGAGGAAGGTGACACCTGGCTTCAAACATATGTGCACATACAAGTACTAATATGTATATGTGTGTGGTCACACATGGACATTATACTTGAATATTGACTTTAATAAAATTTCCCAGAAATAGCCTTTCTTTCTCATTTGAAAAATTATAATATGAACCAGAAGGATTTTAAAATTGATTTTTCCTCCAATATTCATTATGTAGGTTTTCTTCCTTTTTTAATAACAGTGTTCAGGCTAGGGGTAGAGCATATGCTTAGCATACATAAGGCCCTGGGTTCAGACTGTAGTATCAGGAAAAACCCCCAAAGCCTTTGTTCTCACTGATGATACTTCTTAACTACTAGTTGATTGAAACTGCTTTAGGTGGTCTCTCCAGTAGCCCCCTTATTTCTAATGGGGAGGGAAGGCAATATTTTTTCTTCCTATGTTGGATTCATGGCTAAGGACCTTATAAACAAAAGAAAAATATACATATACATTTGTCTAGCATTAATTTTATCTAGACTTTGGAAACTAAGACCCAAAGACTTGTATGTTTTTGTGCTGTGAGTACCCCCCACCCCCACCAAAGTTTCACTTTGTAGCCCCTGAGTGGCCTGAAACTTGTTATACAGGCTGGCTTCCACCTAACAGAGACCTTCTTCCTTCAGCATCCCTCGTGATGAGATTTAAGGGGTGGGGATTAATGAAAAGGTAGGTAGAGAATCATGGGAAATAGGACTGGGATATAGGTAATGTAATGGTCATAGGCATGGAGGACGGAGCAAGACCTGGTTGCTGAGAACTTTCTATTGATTACTATCTTCAGAGATAATGACATTTGTTCCAGGAATAGGCAAGACATTTCTTTTTTTTTAAATAATTTATTTATTTTTTCTCAAATCTTAATTCATTCACACAGGGGTTATAAACACAGAAAGGCAGGATGTGGGGAAGGGGATAACACTGGAGTGTGGGTGTTCAGGGGGAATACAGATACCTTTCAGAACCGGATATCGGCTGGGTGAGGGTTCGGGGACAGGTCACTATGACTCTGCCTATGACTCGCTTGTCCTTCTCTAAGTTGGTATTGTCTGCCAAGGCTACCTATTTACAAGGTCTATGACTACTCAGGCTGGTAAATTTCCACAAAAGCTTCCTGTTTATAATAGCTTGTAGCCATCTGTTTCAATGTTTTTCCACAGAGACTTAAGACTTGGTGTTAGTATACATGTATGACAGGCCTATTGCTGATTTTAGGCCTATGGCTGATTTTAGGCCTTCAGTGTATAAGCAGGGCTGCCCCTGACATCTCCTCCCTTCTCTAAGCATAGAAGGGCTGTGGTGATTCTAATCTTTCAAAGTGGGGATAGAGGCCTGACCTCCAGTAATTGAAGGGGACCTTGTAATAGCTCCAGTCCCCCTGTCGTTGTCCAGTGAGGCATGAGGGCCATACCCATCCCGATGTCTTTTTCTTGGAGAGGGGATACTTTTGACATCAACCCCTATGCAGTCAGGCTTGTCCCTCAGAGAACCCAGAGAGATATTTTTAACTTTTATTTATATTCCCTTGCAGTGCTTAGCCTTGCAGCCTAAGCAAGAATTCATATCGCCAGTCAGAGGGGGTTGAAAGACATTTTAAAGGAGGAATTATGACCTGCTTTAAAGGAAAGTCAGAAAGTCTTTACTAGATAAATGTCCTGGTTCACGGGACACAAGCAAGAAAACATTGAAAATGGCCTTCTTGCTTTTACTTTTTCCTCAAATGCCCAAGATAACACATTTGGCTAAAATCCTCGTTAAGCTTAGAATTAATTTTCAGCTTTAATTTGCTTCTGGATTGGCATTGAGCTGCATTTCATTGTGCTAACCAAACTTTTGGGATGGTATTGCCCTCTGTGCTGTCAGGTTTCTCCGTGTTCATATTTTTAAGAAGTATAATTTTGTATTTAATAAACATCTAGCTAAGGACTCCACACCTTGTACATTATACCTGAATCTGTAGAGTTACATTGTTTATAAAATTTTAGTTACAAATTGTGTACCTTATTCCCACTTTTTCATGTATTCAGACCAGGCTGCTCTCCTGATAATTATATCATATTAATTTCACTGTAAATTATTGCCACCCTATGTGTTTTTTAGCCTTTACTTGTCTTAGGCTGACCTCAAGACAGTTGCCTATTTCCCCTTATTGTTCAGTATTTCATTTCTGCCTCTGCTGAGTTTATTCCCTATCTTTTCCTTTCCTTCACGTCTCTTCCACACTCTCGATCCATTCCTAGTTCTGTTGATTTTATTCTTACGTTGAAACCTATTATGTGTACCTCAAACTATTTTCCTGGAATGACTCAGT